GGGGCGGTGCTATAAGCAAATGGAAGGGGCCGGGGCGGTGCTATAAGCAAATGGAAGGGGCCGGGGCGGTGCTATAAGCAAATGGTAGGGGCCTGGGCGAGAGGACTATTCTATTCAGATGTGGTCAGTTCTGTAGGTAGTTAATTTGGCAAATTGAAACAGTTTACAGGGACAACTGCAACAGGTTGCTGCAGCATAGCCTGGCATTCAACACATGTGGTGAAACGTTCTAGGTTATGAGACTGCTGCAGCTGACATGTATCACTCCATAGGAATGGTCATGTCTGGCAGGCTGCCAGCGAGATGTTCGAGATGTTTCCAGACACGGACGAAGAGGTTTGGAGTTGGTCTGTCCAGGCGACCTCGCATTCTCTGGGCGTGGGCTCAGGTTGGCCTGCCATCCGGTCATCGGCGAGTGGCAGTCGAGGCAGGGGCTCTACTGCATACGGCCTGCGAAGGCACGGAGAGGACTAACAGTTCTAGTCAGATGTGGTGGTTTGTTTCAGCAGATTGAAACAGTTTAAAGGACAACTGTAACAGCTTACTGCAGCATAGCCTGGCATTCAACACATGTGGTGAAACGTTCTAAGTTATGAGCCTGGGCGGTGCTATAAGCAAATGGAAGGGGTGGGCGGCGCTATAAGCAAATGGAAGAGGCAGGGGTGGTGCTTTCAGCAAATGGAAGCGGTGCTATAAGCAAGTGGAAGGAATGGGCGGCGCTATAAGCAAATGGAAGGGGCCTGGGCGGTGCTATAAGCAAATGGAAGGGGCCCGGGCGGTGCTATAAGCAAATGGAAGGGGCCGGGGCGGTGCTTTCAGCAAATGGAAGGGGCCTGGGCGGTGCTATAAGCAAATGGAAGGGCCTGGGTGGTGCTTTCAGCAAATGGAAGGGGCCTGGGCGGTGCTTTAAGCAAATGGAAGGGGCCTGGGCGGTGCTATAAGCAAATGGAAGGGGCCCGGGCGGTGCTGTAAGCAAATGGAAGGGGCCTGGGCGGTGCTATAAGCAAATGGAAGGGGCCTGGGCGGTACTATAAGCAAATGGAAGGGGCCTGGGCGGTGCTTTCAGCAAATGGAAGGGCCGGGGCGGTGCTATAAGCAAATGGAAGGGGCCTGGGCGGTGCTATAAGCAAATGGAAGGGGCCTGGGCGGTGCTTTCAGCAAATGGAAGGGGCCGGGGCGGTGCTATATGCAAATGGAAGGGGCCGGGGCGGTGCTATAAGCAAATGGAAGGGGCCTGGGCGAGAGGATTATTCTAGTCAGATGTGGTGGTCAGTTCTGTAGGCAGTTAATTTGGCAGATTGAAACAGTTTACAGAGACAACTGCAACAGGTTGCTGCAGCATAGCCTGGCATTCAACACATGTGGTGAAACGTTCTATGAGACTGCTGCAGCTGACACGTATCACTCCATAGGAATGGTCATGTCTGGCAGGCTGCCAGCGAGATGTTCGAGATGTTTCCAGACACGGACGAAGAGGTTTGGAGTTGATATGTCCAGGCGACCTCGCATTCCCTGGGCGTGGGCTCAGGTTGGCCTGCCAGCCGGTCATCGGCGAGCGGCAGTCGAGGCAGGGGTTCTACTGCATACGGCCTGCGCAGACAAAGAGAGGACTGTTCCAGTCAGATGTGGTGGTCAATTCTGTAGGCAGTCCATTTGGCAGATTGAAACAGTTTACAGGGACAACTGCAACAGGTTGCTGTGGCATAGCCTGGCATTCAACACATGTGGTGAAACGTTCTAGGTTATGCTGCAGCTGACACGTATCACTCCATAGGAATGGCCATGTCTGGCAGGCTGCCACCAAGATGTTCGAGATGTTTCCAAACACGGACGAAGAGGCTTGGAGTTCAGACTCCGCGAAGTCGCCGAGCGGTTCCGAGAACGACATGAAAAAGCTGTGCAAAAAAAATAGCGGAAAGCCAACGCGAAGGCGGCGGCCGGTTCTGCAGCCGTGGGGTCGACGGCCGATGCGTCCCAGACACAGGGAGCAGCAAGACCGGAGTCGCAGCAGCAGCCAGGCCGCCGATGCCGTAGTGAGTCATAGGGTTTCAGAATGCGCCACGCAGGTAGCGAAGAATCAGAGCCAATGCCTAGCCCCCCGGAGGCAAACAACAGAGGCCGCTACATGTGGGTGCGTCGGAGTGTGCTGACGATGCAATGCCTGAATGCTCCAGGATCTGAATCTCCATGTGCAACCGAACACCATCCGGCGGAGGACTGCTCTGAGGGCCCGTCCACCGAAGGAGGGCAAGTCATCCGGCGGACGACGCCGACAACATGTGAGACCGTGCTTGTCCATCGCCGTGCATGATCTGGTGTTACCCACAATTTCCATGAAAGCATTATGATCCTGTAGTCGGGAAATGGAGCATAACCGATTGCGGCACGCGGTGCGGACCCAGTCCCCGCAAGTGCCGGCGCGCAGCAGAGTTGAACATGTCATGTCGAGACGAAATGCGGCAGACGGCTTTTTCATTGCATCTGTGCATGCTGGCATAGGTGTCGACTGACAGTTCGCTCCCCTCGCAGCATTGAGAACTCGTGACTTAGGGACTGGAGTGTCAAGCTATCGACCCATCACCATGGGCGTGCTCTGTCTGCGATTGCTGGCAATTGTCTCACTCGGCTCTATCGCGCCGCCGCCTCAGCGTGCCGTGTGCGAGAAGGTCAAACTCCGACCGTGCTTCACAGGTGGGGTGGCAGGTCGAACGAGCGACCTCGGCTGAACAACGCGCCGGCGCCTCAGTCAGGGACCGCATCCGCCCGTGGTTTTTGCTTGGGTGATCAGGTCACAGGGAGGGAAGCGCAAATCGGCTCTATGCGCCAACCCACGTTGGGGACGGAGCTCGGGGTCTACATCCACGAGGCCAGCTTCGGAGCCGGAGTTGGCGTCAAGATGCGGTGCTGGCCGTTGGTCACGGTGCCCCAGGCCCCGCGTCGAGGCCACACGGAAGCACGTAGATCCGCTTACTGCAGCGGTGTGGGCACATGACATGGTCGAGGAAGCGGCCGCGGTCAGCAGGCTCTCGGTCCGGTGTCTGAATCATCATGCGACACTATTCGTCCGAGCAACGTCCCACTAGCTGTGCCCCCGGCAGGCTGGACTGGTCGCCAAGGCCGCTGCCGCGACAAGCAACATGCTGCCGAAAGAGTAACCTTGTCGCAGTTCCTCTTCGCGAACACCGTCGCCTCCATCTTCAGGAATCAGGACACGTGCGGCAACCGCCGATGAGCTTCAGTTGAGCTCGTTCCATCGGTTACTGCTGTTGCTTAAGACCCTCGACGGCGACAGCAACAGGAGCTCGCCCGATGATAGGGATGACTCTGCCGACCGAGGCACGAAACAACCTAATACACGAGGGATTGTGACTGATAGACTGTGGTCCACAGGTTCAGCCCGGACCGCGCGAAGGAAGGGGAGCAGGCGCACTGCATGACCTCCGCAGCGTGCAACGGTCCTTGTCAACTAGTCAAGCAGTTATATGTTGAAGGTTTGTAGGCTGGGCGCTCCATGCTGGAATCGCAAGTCACACGAATGCACAAGATGTCACGAGACGCGGCATCCAGGACCAGGGGCACCAAAGAAAGCAGGCGAGCAAAATTATGGAAGGTCGTTGCGCTTACGGCGTCGCAGTCGTCGTGCATCTGTGCAAGGCCCTCGAAAGCTATATCGGACTGGCGGACGGCGCCGGCAAAGTCTGCGCCCCCACGGCCGCACTTGCTTTTCTGCGGCCGTGCTCGCTCTATGTAGAGCGTTGAGCTGCGTCCAGGACCGCGAGCATTGAAGAAAGCAGGCGGCGAAAGCACAGAAGGCTGTCACGCTTGCGTGCATACTCGCTCACTGGTGCAAGGCCCTCGAAAGATGACTCGGACTGGCAGACAGCGCCGGCAAGGTCAGTGCCTCAGCAGCCGCGCTCGCGTTGTCTAGGGCATCACGTTTTAAGGACAGCAGGCAAAGAACGCAACGCTGATCGCCCTCACCAACGAGGGCGCCCCTGCGTGGGACGCGTGAGATCGGTCGGCTGTCCTTTCGGGGCGACGGCGGCTCGCGGCACCGTGCACTGTCGTCTGTGTTCTGAAGGGCATCTAGAGTACGGTTGTTATCGGAGACAGGGTGGAGCCATTCTGCGCGTCCTGCTTGGCCTAGAGGGTGAGCGCTTGGCTCTGGCGTTCGAGTACATGAGCAAAGTGATCGGAGAAGGCTTGCTGGAGGAATTTCGACGGGCACGCGAGAAGGCCTCACTGGAACGGCGGACGAAGATGACGACTGCGAGGGCCTCCGCACGAGGCCGGGCAATATTCAGACTCGTGACCACAAGACTAATCAGACAAAACAGGCAAGAAGTCGACAGACGCAGGGGTGGCGTCCAATGCATCAGAGGCAGGTAGGGTTCACGCTAACAGCCGAATGAATGTTACCTGCGTCAGGACGACGGTCCGGCGAATATCGATGGCGTCAGGACGGGAATATAAGTATCCCTGAATTTGAAACCTTGTTAAACTCTTAAGGCTGAGGATGCGGAGTGGTTCCAAGTCTTGCTTATCGGGGGGTAAGTGTTCGTAACGTTCACCAAATAAATGACAATTTGTCGTGGAATATGTGTCAGTGGAGTCGTGCTAACACAAAAAAGCGTGACACATTTTCGCGGAACATGTGTCACCAGAGTTCTGTTAGCGCCAAACACATGACATTTTTACCGCATAATATGTGTCAGTCGAGCTGTGCGAACACAAAAAACATGATACATTTTTTTCGCGGAATATGTGTCAGTAGAGCAGTATTAACACAAAAAAAACATGACAGCAAGACACCTCCGAACCCCGAAACCCCAACTTCCCGAAACGCCGTGTTCATGCCTCCCGGCGCGTGACGGACCCCGGTGGCCGTCGTGCTCGGAGCCGCGTCGTTCATCTGGCTAGGACGGCGGCCTCCGGGAGGGAGCAGACCAAAGGCTGGAGGCGCGCCGCTTTTTGCTTATCGCCAGACATCACCGCTTGGTATGGGCAGGACTCGTCCACTGCGGCCTACATGCAGGGGGCGCAACGGGGTGTGCTGCCCCTTCCGGGCTCATGGCATTAAGCTTGGTGCACACTCGGACCAGTGTCGCTTCTGCTCAGATGAGCAGCTCGTGCTCGGCATTCATAAAAAGAATGGGTGCCTGACACGGTCCTTGAAAAAGCTGCACGGCGACGTGCTGGAGCAAGGATTCCGGCGTATCGCGGCCGTGGCAGACGCCGAAGTCGCCGAGCGGTTCCGAGAACGACATGAAAAAGCTGTGCAAAAAAAGAGGAAAGCCAACGCGAAGGCGGCGGCTGGTTCTGCAGCCGTGGAGTCGACGGCCGATGCGTCCCAGACGCAGGGAGCTGCAAGACCGGAGTCGCAGCAGCAGCCAGGCCACTGATGCCGTAGTGAGTCATAGGGTTTCAGAATGCGCCATGCAGGTAACGAAGCATCAGAGCCAATGCCCAGCACCCCGGAGGCAAACGACAGAGGCCGCTACATGTGGGTGCGTCGGAGTGTGCTGACGATGCAATGCCTGAATGCTCCAGGATCTGAATCTCCGTGTGCAACCGAACACCATCCGGCGGAGGACTGCTCTGAGGGCCCGTCCACCGAAGGGAGGGCAAGTCACCCGACGGACGACGCCGACAACATGTGAGACCATGCTTGTCCGGCGCCGTGCACGATCTGGTGTTACCCACAATCTTCCATGAAAGCATTATGATCTTGTAGTCGGAAAATGAAGTACAACCCATCGCGGCACGCGGTGCGGACCCAGTCCCCGCAAGTGCCGGCGCGCAGCAGAGTCGAACATGTCATGTCGAGACGAAATGCGGCAGACGGCTTTTTCATTGCATCTGTGCGTGCTGGCATAGGTGTTGACCGACAGTTCGCTCCCCTCGCAGCATTGAGAACTCGTGACTTAGGGACTGGATTGTCTTAAGCTATCGATCCATCACCATGGGCGTGCTCTGTCTGCGATTGCTGGCAATCGTCTTACTCGGCTCTATCGCGCCGCCGCCTCAGCATGCCGTGTACGAGGAGGTCAAACTCCGACCGTGCTTCACAGGTGGGGTGGCAGGTCGAACAAGCGAGCTCGGCTGAGCAACGCCGCACCGTCAAGGCGCAGGGCGATGAGTCCGAGTCTGGGATGTATGTAACCAGTTGCGTGGCAGGCCACCACTGACGTCCACCGAGCGCCGCAACCTCTTGGAGGCATTGCGAACGATGGCCGCTTCCGAGGGACATCAGGCGCGCCTCAGACGATCTATACGCAGGGTCACGAGTAGTAATTATGACGCAATGCACCGACATAAGAAAGCGGACACCTCCTGATGGCTAAGATGGGTAACAGGGTTTCAGGACAGCTTCCAACACAAAGCACCAATAAGAGCTCACAAAATTGGATGAGAGATGTCGGAGTGTAGAGCTTAATTAGCGTGCAGGATGCCCGGCTGGAGCGACGCATCTGTGCCCTTGAGTCGGTCGCTCGGCATAGCACTGCTGAAAGTCGCCATTGTGCATTCTCGATTCGAGGTTAGAGGTACAAAGAGAGGGCGTCGCTTCGACCGAATCGACCCGGCCCGAGTCTTGTCCGGCTGCCGCCGTCAGCCAGGATGCAAGCCGAACGTAAGACGGAATAGCCGAGCAGCGTGTGTCATATCGCTTAGATTTCACTCAGGTCTTCCCTGACTGGTTCGGGTGCTTCGATGCAGGGAATTCCACTGTTTGCAGAAGCCCAGGAAGCCTGGCCAAAAGCCGGCGATGCCGTGATGGCGCCATCGGAGCAACTGAACGTGCCGCCAGACGGCAACTGCCTCTTCTCGGCAGTGCTCTGCGCCCGGCACGTTGAGAGACTGCGGGACCTGCCGCGGGACGACTTCGGGTTTGTTCTCGACCCACGGGCCGAAAGGTGGGTTGAGCCGCGCTGCGGGCGAGGTGCGTGCACACGTAACCGCAATGGCGGCCGAAGCCAACCGGCCCGATGTGGCGGCGTCTCTGATGGAAGGCGAGCTTCCAGAAGGCGCGGCGCTTCACTTCGTGGCCGAATGGCTGGGGCACGCTCTGTTGATTTCGACGAACTTCACGGAGGAGGCATACGTGTTTGGGGACGGGGCCATCGGAGTTCATGTACATCTAATGCAGCAAACGGGACCAGACGGCCGTACTGCGCCGCACTACCAGTTGCGGAATAGCTGGTTGCCTCAGCCTGGGTCCCTTCCTCTCATGGGGTCGTCGGACACGGAGGACACGGCTAGCGTCTACTCCTCTGAGTCCGACGAGTCGAATAATGACCGGCCTATGGCAGACTGAGGGAGGTTCGGCCGGATAATCAGTGGCATGGACTAGATTGCCTCGAGGCTGTTTCGTAATTTTGAGATACTAGCATATCTTTCTCGCACAATGTCAGGTGGCACGCGGAGCGGACCGAGTCCCCGCGCACACCATCCCAGCCGAAACAGGCATGAATGCGATTTTGAAGGACTCAAAACAGCCGCCGCGCGCCTCTTGCAGAGCAGAGTGTGGAGCATGTTCGCAGAGAGGACTAGGGGTATGCACCGTTGTCTGCATGGCAGGTGTATCATCTTGTTTACTGGCTCAACAGAGGGACGCTGGAACTTCGGTGCCCGTTCGTGTTTCAACCTACTTTTCTTGTCATGGGTGGCGGCAGCTGGGGCAAGAAGGGCGGCAAGTATGCTGGGAGCCAGACCGGCAAGGGCAGGTTCGGTTGGGATTCTACGGGCGGCGGCTGCAGGTCCGGATGGGACTCTGCGGGTGGCTGGAACTCGTGGCAGAACTCCGATTATCAAGAGTGGCCACAAACGTCGGGCAAAGGAGACGGCAAATCCAAGGGGTCGAAACACGGACAGGAGGCAGAGCCGCAGGACTATGTTCGGCGCCTGGAAGGTCGCTACGCCTTCGCGAAGTCAGTACTCCGCCCTTACAGCGATTCCCAAGGAGCGGTCGTATACGGCCCCACCTCCGAAGGCCACGTCTGCTTTGAGAAGAGTCATCTGCGCACGATCCTGGATCGGGGAAATTCCGAACTCATTCGGCGGCCGGCAGTGGGTCTTTCAACGACGGCCAGCAGCGTCACGGCACTCGCAACACTTCTGGAGGAAGCCGAGGAGTCGCACAATCCCGTGGCTCTAGGTTGGAGTGCAATGCAGCAAGTGCGAGGCATCCTGGGCGCAGACAACGCAGAGGACTTCCGCGCCGCCTGTCGGGCGCTCAGCGGCGACAAGTCTGCAAAAAACATGGGTCACAAACTCGAGGGGCATGTGAAAGCCTGGTTGGAGTTTCTTCGTGCAAACAAGAACAGCCTCGCCAGTCAGCTAGCAGCCGTCGCGGACATGTCGTCCAGACTGTACTTGGGTTCAGTGCAGCTGCTGGAGTGTGTCACTATGTCCAATGCTTTGCAGAACTGGGCAGAGAAGATACCGATGACGCACGCCAATCAGGCAGCGCTACAGTCTTGGCAGCGAAATCCCAAGGACGTGAGGAAAGCTTGGAAGTTCCTCGTTGCATCAGTGGACAGTCGTAAACAGGAAGAGCGCTTTCGGGCCTCGAGTGGTTGGGGCGGCGACTCGGATGAAGACGAGGCCGTGCCATGGGATGCGCGGCCTGCCAGGCGAGCCAGAGTTGATACATCCTCCTCCGGAGCCTCTTCCAGTGTGTCTCGCAAGAAGGCCTCGAAGCCAAGCAAGAAGCACAAGAAAGAAGGGAAGCGCAAGCTTGGAGATGTCGAGAAAAGCTCGTCGGAGCGCCGCGGGCGCAAGAGGAGGCATCGCGAGGAGGACTCCGAGTCGGACGAGATCGAATCCAAGAAGCCAGCGACCGCCGGGCCAGCAAAGAAGAGCAAGCCTGGAGTCGAGATAAGCTCGGGGGCGCGCCGTGGGAGCGCGAGGAAGCATCGCGAGGAGGGCTCCGAGTCGGCGAAGAAGGAATCCAAGAAGCCAGCGACTGCCAGGCCCGAGCACGTGCCAACGGCAGGGGCCAGCACGAGGCGCGCGGACGAGAAGCCCCTCTGTGCTGGCTCTGCAGACGACGCACTTGCAGAGAACGAGGGCAATGCCGAGATGGCGAATGCCGCATCGACCGCGCATACAGCCTCGGCCGGCGAGGAAATGAGCGAGTTCGAAGAGAAGTGAGAGCTGTCGGCGCACGATTGCGTATGAGTGGATAGCTTCGACACAGGCATATTTGAGGATTAACATGAAAAAGTCATTATAGCATCAGACCATTGAGGGTGCCGTCGTGACCGTGTCGATTCCAAGCTTCGAATCTAGCGTCAAGTCGGAAAGCTGATAGCACCAACGCTGTCGCAGCTGTTGAGATCCGCGGCGCGGACGAAGTCCCCGCGTATCGCAGCCGCGACCCACGACGGCGACACAGCATCTACATCTGTGCAGCAAGAGTCCGTGTTGTGGTAGCTGCCTCGACATGTGTATATGTTGGCATCTCGGACGCGGCGAATACAGCAGCATGCGCATGTTTGCACATCCACGAGGTGAGTCCGCAGACGTTTACCTTCTCATTTCGGGGTTCATTTCTGCCTCGGACGCATTGCGGCGCAGGCAAACAGTGATGCTTGATCGAGTGGCTGCGTTAGAACATCCCGGCAGGTCTGACTATGCTGATGTGCTTGACCGCATTGCTTCTTGTCTTAGGGCACCGGCCTCGGTTGGACGATGTTCCAGCGTTCTGCTAGTTCAGCCAACCACTTAGGTCGGCAGGCCCGTCCAGAAAACGGGCAAGGCCGGAGACTCGGAAGGTCGCAGTCGCATAGCGACAGTTATGTGGAGGCACGTCGACGCAGCAGGAGAGTCGGCCCGGACACTAAGCGAGAATTTCCTGAGTAGCAATACTAGCAGTAGTAGAAATAATAGCAGGACTAGAAACCAGCGTGTCCAACTAACATGCATGTTTTTTGCCTTCGCAAATGAAACGTATGTCTTTAAGTGGCAACCTGATTTTGTCTTAGAACCGCTGTGTCCGACTAGCATCCTTGTCCTTGCCTCGGCAAGTGAAAGCAGCGTATCCAACTAGCGTCCTCGACTTTGCCCTGGCAGACGCACACGTGCAAGACGTATCTAGACGCCTTTCGTAGAATCTTCAGGTCGGTCTTTCCGGCGGAAGCCCCTTGGGACACCACGCCTGCGACTCGCGCGATCGGGAACGTCGCGCCCGCGTCTCAGGCGGTTGGAACGAACGCTCACTATTGCACTGTTGTCCTGGACAGCACCGATTAACCGCTATGTGCTAGAGTAGAAATGGTTGCTGGCACGCCTGCCATCAGAAAGCGACGAGGTCTGCTTTGGAGAATGCGGAGATCTGTGAAGAATGCGTGCCGAACGAGGGAGGAGGCCTGCGTGTAGTGACTGTATGGGAACCACAAACTCCCGTCACGCGGCAGGTGGATACTCTCTCTGTGTGGTCCGCGCCTTGGCAGCGGCCAAGCAGGCCGGAGACGGATCTTTTCAACGCCGTTGTGACGAACTTCTGGCAGTCTTCGGACCGGATATGGCATCGATGTACATGCAACAGCTGGACGATCTGGAAAATGAACCAGGACGGCCGATCGTGCATAATGCGAACGGGTCAATCCCTGCAGTCGTTCATGGCACTGACTCGGATGGCTTTGCCACCGAGACAAGGAGCGCCAAGGCTGCAGAGGCTTACGCCGACACTCGCTTCGCACTGAAGGTTGGTGCGCCGTACATCGACCAGATATTAGACGGCAGCAAGCAGATCGAAATCCGAAGTGGTCCATGTGCGCATATGGAAAGAATTACTCTCATAGAGGTAGGGTCGAAACTCATCAAAGGACGTGTGACCATTCGGCGATCGCGACACATGACGACATCTGAGAAGCAGCAACATGCCTCGGTACTGAGCAAGCTGGGATACCAGAATCCGTGGGCCTGGGAGTTGCAGGACCCCGAAGTCGTCGATCCTCCTATCGCGGTGCCAGACGCTGTCGGCAACAACATCGTCACCTGGGTCCCGCGCGTGCGATGGGAGAAGTGGGAGCGGGGTCAAGCGATGACGCCTTGCCCTCGCCAGGCTAAGACGCGTAATCCTGGTCACTCATTGGCCCAGAAATGGCGTGAGCAACTCGAAAGCCGCAGACTCCAGGAAAAGCTATCTACACCTCGACGAATTTCCTATAGCCAGCAGCGAGGGCGTGAGACGGGACGGTTGCGACGGAAACTGCCAGCTGTATACGGGGCCGATGGGCGCCCAGACGCAGAATGGATGTCGTCGCTCGCTATGGCGCTTCAACAGTGGTGCCAGTACAAGTCCTGGAGGGCATGCTCGATATGTGGGCGCATGCAACAGCAACGCTACATGGCGCAGCACGGTCGCAACAGCGATAGGACGGAGACCACTGCCCCGCCTTGTGGATTCTGTCGCAGTGAGGGAAAATTAGGGTATCGGTCGCCAAGGCCGGCGGAGGTCCCGAAGTCTTTGCGGAAGCTGACGGAACGTTGCAGAGATGCGCTGAGGCCATTCGACATCTACAGAGGTCAGGAAAGTCGAGCACCGCAAGGTTATTTCGTGCACGCGGACATGATTCGGTTTGCTTTTAAGACACACTCGGTGGAGCAGCAAATTGCCAACTTGCCGAGTCGGAAAGAAAGGCGCCGTGCGAGGCGTGCTTTCCGCTGGCTCATGCAGCAAGACACCTCGGCTTACCGAGACTTTGTGGACTTACATCGCGCTTTCCTGCAGCGTAGAGACACAGAGGCAACATCCGAGGCGGCGATGCCAAGAACCGCCAGGCTGCCGGTTTCCTTCCTGGAGACAGTCGGACTGGAGTGCGCAGTATGGCCTGACTTGTATTGGCGGACGAACATGACGGAAACATTTGCGCGTTCACAGGACGTGCGGCGGCAGCACGAGACCACAGGTGCTGCAGGGGAGCAGGGTGAAAATACAGACGAGGAAAACGCACAGAGTCGAGAGCGTCACAGCGCAAAGGCTAGCTTTTTGGCCAAAGCCCTGGGACCGCTGCTAGGTTACAGCGCAGACCGCGCATTAGTGCACTACGTGTACGACTTATGGTTATGGAGTAGTATTGGAGGCGCGAGAAATGCGGCGAACCTCGGCGTTCGCGAAGCCCTGGCCTCGAAATCATTCAGTCCGGAGTTTTGGCGCCGGAACCACGCCGCTCTTGTCGATCTGCAGCGGCAACAAGGTCTACCGTCACTGTTCATAACAGTGGCTCCATTCGAACCCAGTTTTCCTTACCACGTCTGGATCCAGGACGAGCTCGAAAAACACCTGCGCACGCGGACCAACGTGCCACTCGCCGAGACGCTCCACATTGCCCATGTATTGACGCAGATCGTAAAAGGATTTCTGTGTGGTCACGGCGACGGCAAGCAGTCGAGCAAGGAACGCCGAGGAGGCTATCTCCTCGCAGGCGGCCCGAGCTCCGGCTGCGTGCGCGCCTGGGTGGGGCGCCTAGAGTTCCAGGACGGGAAGCGTCTCAGACACAACCACGGCAGACAACAGGCATACCATGGTAGCGGGCGTGTCCATCTGCATTGTTTGGTTTGGCTGCAACGAGCTGCCAGCCTGGACCTTCCTTCCAAAGTCCGTGCAGATATCCCGAAGGAAGAAGCGGAACCGGAGCTTCGATGCCTCGTCAGGGATTCTCAGCTTGACTGGCACGACAGTGGCTGGCCATTGCGAGAGGAACCGTCAGAGTACGAAAAGGTCTCCAAGCTCTTGCGATTAAGACATCCGCAGGATGCATTCGATCAGCATTGCCGAGCTTACTTCCCAGATCTCCTGCAGAGCTTGCGGTGTCACATGGACGTCCAAGCGTCCGATGGCCGCAGCCTCGTGTTGAAATACTGCTGCAGCAACTCGCTAGCAGAAACTTTTATGGAAGTAATATTTTCTTTGGCAATAAATCGACTGAATATACTTCCGCGAACTAGGTCAACTGCAGCCTAGGTTATCTTCCAAAGTTTAGTGACTCCTTCGCAAGCGAGTTACTCTCGAACGAGGCTTCGACTTTCGCGCTGACCAGGCGGATATTGTGTGAGTACCACCCGTTGGAACCCGAGATGGTCTGTCAACTGGCCGGCGCGCAGGTGCCACAGTTCTTCTGCAGTGGAGTTGTTCGCAAGTTCGTGGTACCTGTGCCATGGGGCAAACCGGAACTTCCGAGGATAGTCGACCTCTACCAGAAATGTTCCTGGAGAACAAAGGATATGAGTCTGCTGGATTATTTGCGAAAGACGAACAACAAAGGAGGCATTCAGCAGCGGTATGCGAGAAAGCATAAGCGTGCAGGAGTCAAGCAGCCCCTCGAAGACTGGATCAATGAAGTTCCAGCGGACGGAAGCGTTCTGGTGGCCCTTGTGACGTACTCGAGGTACAACGACAAGTTTTTCGGCCAGTGGTTGCTGCTGCATTTCCCATTTCGACAGTTGGAAGAGCTTTGGGACGAGCGTGTCCAGAGAGTCCCCGCGAGTCTGCGATTCCTGACGCTGTGTCTACTGAAAGCTCCGACATATTGGCGGGATTTGCGGAACTTAGAAGCAGACCTGGAGTTAGAAGCACAGTCACAGTTCTACGTCCAAAACCTCCTCGCGATGGTCGCCGCGCGAATTGAACTTGCGGATGCCTACTTGAGTGGTGAGATTTCTGTACGGGACTTTCCTAACGAAGTCTCCGTCTTGGGTGGCAGCCTGGCGGATACTGGCGTCGATCTAGCAGCAGACCAGCTTGGTGTTCTGGCACGCCTCCGAAAGAACGTAGGCGTAGCCCTAGAAGCGAGGCCCGGTCAGTCAAATAATTCGTGACAGGTTTATTCTAATATCGGTATAGACTGTTTGGGTTTACCGATACAGGTGGCCCGAGGAAGTGGACCACGTGACGCCGTGGATTCGCTGGATGGAACAGGACACGGTCGTGAATGAAGCACTGGCAGTACTCGGCCCTGCTGGAAGTGGAAAAAGCACGGCCGTCGAGGTGGCAGCCCGTGAGGCCATGCGGCAGGGAGCCCGCGTCGGCATAGCGTGTCCTACAGGAATGCTGGCATCACGCTATAGACATCGATTCCCGGATGCAGATGTCGATACAATCCATGGTATGTTTGCTTTACATCGTGCGGAGTCGGACACATTGGACCTGATGATGTCGTACGACCTAGTGGTTATCGACGAAGTCGGCCAATTGTCCGTGTCTATTTTCGAAAGACTGATGAGACTGTGGTATGCAGCCATGCGCCGTCCAGCCCTCTGCTTCGTAGGTGATTTTGCGCAACTGCGCAGCATCGAAGGGACGAATGCAAGGCAGAGTCCATGGTGGCGCCAAGTGAAGCGTATGCATCTGAGGACCATGCGAAGGTGCAAATGCAAATTGCTGCAGTGGAAGTTGGAGCTACTGCGGCATGCTAGACCGACCAGGCAACAGTTGCGCGACATCTTGCGAGGCCATCGTGCACCAGTGTATCGTCCAGACGGGCATGCGACCATACCGACGTTGGTTGAGATCGAGCAGATCATGGCGGAGGCCAGGTCAGCCGGACGCAGAGTGCTGTTCGTCGCGCTGAGCCGACGGGGTGCAGATCACTTGAATAGGCTGGCTCTTTTGGCTCTCTTCTGGCAAAGCACGCCACTGACACGCCTCCCTTGTGATCCAGACGCCAACTTGAATAACTTCCAAGGGCGACAGCAGGTGGCAGCGGAACCAACGGAGATGGCAATTTTCCGCGGCATGCGAGTACTCCTCACCGTCAACGAGGATAAAGCACATGGCTTTGTTAATGGCATGCTCGGAGTCGTTCGTCGAGTTCGACGCAATGCCGTGGAAGTCCTGACTGACGCAGGCGAGGTGCTTGCCGTGCATCCAGTCACGCGAGAAGTCGAGATTGCCGGCGGCGAGACGCGCAGAGTAACATACTACCCTATGAGGGCAGGATATGCGACAACGCTGTATAAAGTACAGGGCAGCACGTTGGAGAGCATTGTTGTGTGGTTCGATGTACCTTTTGTAGAGGCTGCTGCTTACGTGGCACTGTCACGTGTACAGTTTGACTCGCAGTGGTCCTTCGTAGGTGACGTCATCACACAACACTGCGTGCCGGCAAGGACGGACTAAATTATGATTCCTGCAGACGGCGCGGACCTGCGTCCCCGTCTGAAGTTGAGAGAAACGTCCGAGATTATTATGTGGTTCGATGTACTTTTTGTAGACGCTGCTTACGTAGCAATGTCACATGTGCAGTTTGACTCGCAGTGGTCCTTCGTAGGTGACGTCACCACAGAACACTGTGTGCCGGCAAGGGCGGACCAAATTATGACTCCTGCAGACGGCGCGGACCTGCGTCCCCGTCACAAGCTGAGAGAAGGAACCAAAGACGATTCGAAAAGGGTCTTGGGTTTGATCCGAGAGTCCAGCTCGGGCAATGACTCAATTTGGAAAAGAATCCCAAATCCCAACAACGGCAATTCGACCTGGAAAATCCGCCTGAAAGCAGAGGGGGACGGATTCGATCCAAGAATCCGGTTCGGCTGATCCCAAAGTTTAGATCAGACACCCAAACCCGGGTCTGACAATTTTGACCCGAAAAGCATCCCGAGTTTCAACCCTGAAATCATGGAGGGGGTGCAGAATACGGTTCCGGCACTTACCTTCAATTTGGACTATAGTCTCAAATCCAAACAACAGCGGTTTCGACCTCGAAAAATTGTTCAGGCATGAAAACTTAGATTTAGATAGCCGCCTAATCCGAAAGTTTCGATAAGGAAAACGAGTTTTGGAACCCTCTGGCGATCCCGAAAATTTTGACTCGAAAAGTATGACCAGAATCCCACATGTCCAAGTTTCGACTCTGAAAGCAGGTTTTGATGTGGAAACTGGTTTAGGCATGAAAAATTTGGTTTGGGTTTCGCCTTTTAAACACGACTAGAATCCCAAATCTTAAAAAACAGATTTCGATATGGAAATTAGTTTAGGCATGGAAAATTTTGGTTTAGATTTTCGCCTTTAATTACGACTAGAATCCCAACTTCTAAAAAAAGGATTTCGATATGAAAATCCTAATCCGAAAGTTTCGACACGAAAACGAGTTTTGGAACCTTCCGGCGATCAGGAGAAGGCGCAGCACACAACTCGACCTGAAAACTGGCACAGGTTGGTTTGGATTTTCGCCTTTTAATTACGACTAGAATTCCAAATTCTAAAAAAACACATTTCGATGTGGAAATCCTAATCCGAAAGATTCGACACGGAAAACGAGTTTTGGAACCTTCCGGCGATCCGGAGAAGGCGCATTCGGCTTACTGAATTCTGCTTATAAAAAGTACATTTTGATCAGGGCCGGGTGCCCAGGTCGAGGCACCCCTGTTTCTCCTTTGCGTCTGCTCCAAAGCACGCAATTCGACCTGAAAACTGGCACAGGCTGATTCCAAGTTTAGATCAGACACCCAACCCCGGATCCGACAGTTTCGACCCGAAAAGCATCCCAAGTTTCGACCCTGATTCGACTAGAATCCCAAATTCTAAAAAAAATATATTTCGATGTGGAAATCCTAATCCGAAAGTTTCGCTACGGAAAACGAGTTTCGGAACCTTCCGGCGATCCGGAGAAGCGGATTTGGCTTACTAAATTCTGCTTATAAAAAATACATTTTGATCAGGGCCGGGTGCCCAGGGCGAGGTTCCCCTCTTCGTTCGTTTGCGCCTGCTCCAAAGCATCAATTCGACCTGAAAACTGGTGCAGGCTGATCGCAAAGTTTAGATCAGACACCCAAACCCGGATCCGACAGTTTCGAGCCGAAAAGCATCCCAAGTTTCGACCCTGAAAGCATGGAGGGGGGCGCGGGAGCTCGATCCGAGAATCCGATTCGGGTAATTACCTTTAATTTGGACTATAATCTCAAATCCAAACAACGGCGGTTTCGACCTCGAAAAATTGTTCAGGCATGAAAATTTTGGTTTGGATTTCCGCCTTTTAAACACGATTAAAATCCCAAATCCCAAAAAACAGATTAAACAGATTAAACACGACTAGAATCCCGAATCCTAAAAAACAGATTTCGATGTGGAAATTGGTTTAGGCATGAAAAATTTGGTTTGGATTTCGCCTTTTAAACACGACTAGCATCCCAAATCCTAAAACAGATTTCGATATGGAAATTGGTTTGGGCATGAAAAATTTGGTTTGGATTTCCGCCTTCTAAATACGAGTAGAATCCTAAATCTTAAAAATCAGATTTCGAGGTGGAAATTGGTTTAGGCATGGAAAATTTTGGTTTGGATTTCCGCCTTCTAAACACGACTAGAATCCCAAATCCGAAAAAAACAGATTTCGATATGGAAATTGGTTCAGACATGAAAATTTTGGTCTGGATTTCCGCCTTCTAAATACGAGTATAATCCCAAATCCTAAAAACAGGTTTCGACACGAAGTACCGAGACCCGAGGTTTTAGGGTAACTATTATATTATAATATAGAATGTCGGTCATGTACATGGAGTCCGACATTCTCTCGGACGAATTCGGATTGAATGTCCTGTCGTCCTCGGCCACCAAGTACTAGCGATGGCACGCACTGGAATCTATACGGAGTGTAGTATTGCACACTTGTGACGAATGTTCGACATGACACCGTACAAAGTGGTATACCAGCCGGGGTCACTCCTCTAACGCCTCAAGGCGTTAGAGAGACGTGCCGGTGAGTTTAGGGTTTAGGGTTTAGGGTTTAGGGTTTAGGGTTTAGGGTTTAGGGTTTAGGGTTTAGGGTTTAGGGTTTAGGGTTTAGGGTTTAGGGTTTAGGGTTTAGGGTTTAGGGTTTAGGGTGGGTTTAGGGTTTAGGGTTTAGGGTTTGGGTTAGGGTTTTAGGGTAGGGTTTTAGGGTTTAGGGGGGGTTTTAGGGTTTTAGGGTTTAGGGTTTTAGGGTTTAGGGTTTTTAGGGTTAGGGGTTAGGTTTAGGGTTTAGGGTTTAGGGTTTAGGGTTTAGGGTTTAGGGTTTAGGGTTTAGGGTTTAGGGTTTAGGGTTTAGGGTTTAGGGTTTAGGGCGTCTCGAACAAAGACCTCGCGGGGCGAGCGCGCGGCACCTGCGCACATCTTTCGAGTTTGAAAAGTCGGCCGTTCGGGCAATCGCAGGGTGGCCTGTGTGATCGGGGCCGCGTGACCGCCCCGAGATGACGCCCTCCCGCGCCGCTCGAGGGCGGCTCCCACCCTCTCTTCGCTCCGCCCTTTTTCGTTAAGCCAAGCCACCCTTTTTTTTTTTTCTTCTCTTCTCTTTCTTTCTTCCTCTGTCAGGTTCGACTCACCCTTTTCTTTCTTGCTGAAAATCGCTCTTCGCAGGAAATCGCTTTATGGGCAACATATGCCTAAGACATTTGCACTATGGACAGCAATCCTTGATTTGCTGAGAACACTGGCGGACCGTGAACTTCTAAAAAAAAACGCAGTATTACAGGCCGTCTTGCACGGTTGGGGGTTGTACAGGTTTTAGCACGGGGCTAATTCCGACAGTTTCGATCCGGAAGCCTAAATCCGGTATTTGGGAACTTGGATCTGGAAACCCAAAGCTGGGTCCGAGAGTTTCGACCCGAAACCGCTGTCCGAATCCGAAAGTTTCAACCCGAAACCCGAGGTTTAACCCGAAACCGGCACTCGAATCCGAAAGTTTCAACCTGAAATTAAGACAGGTTTTAGCAGGAGCTAATTCCGACAGTTTCGACCCGGAAGCCAAAATCCGGGAATTTGGGAATTCGATCTGGAAACCCAAAGCTGGCTCCGATAGTTTCGACCCGAGTTTCGATCCGGAAGCCTAAATCTGGGACTTGGGAATTTCGATCTGGAAACCCAAAGCTGGGTCCGATAGTTTCGACCCGAAACCGGTGTCCGAATCCGAAAATTTCAACCCGAAACCCTAGGTTTCGACCCGGCATCCTAATCCGAAATTTTCGACACGGAAAACGAGTTTTGGAACCTTCCTGCGATCCGGAGAAGGCTGATTTGGCTTACTGAATTTTGCTTTTCAAAAGTGCATTTTGATCTGGGCCAAGTGCCCAGGTCGAGGCACCCCTCTTTCTTCGTTTGCGTCTGCTCAATCCGAAAATTTCAACCCGAAACAAATACAGGTTTTAAAAGGGGGCTAATTCCGACAGTTTCGATCCGGAAGCCTAAATCCGGGACTTGGGAATTTCGATCTGGAAACCCAAAGCTGGGTCCGATAGTTTCGACCCGAAACCGGTGTCCGAATCCGAAAATTTCAACCCGAAACCCTAGGTTTCGACCCGGCATCCTAATCCGACATTTTCGACACGGAAAACGAGTTTTGGAACCTTCCTGTGATCCGGAGAAGGCTGATTTGGCTTACTGAATTTTGCTTATAAAAAGTGCATTTTGATCTGGGCCAAGTGCCCAGGTCGAGGCACCCCTCTTTCTTCGTTTGCGTCTGCTCAATCCGAAAGTTTCAACCTGAAACTAATACAGGTTTTAAAAGGGGGCTAATTCCGACAGTTTCGATCCGGAAGCCTAAATCCGGGACTTGGCAATTTCGATCTGGAAACCCAAAGCTGGGTCCGATAGTTTCGACCCGAAACCGGTGTCCGAATCCGAAAATTTCAACCCGAAACCCTAGGTTTCGACCCGGCATCCTAATCCGACATTTTCGACACGGAAAACGAGTTTTGGAACCTTCCTGCGATCCGGAGAAGGCTGATTTGGCTTACTGAATTTTGCTTATAAAAAGTGCATTTTGATCTGGGCCAAGTGCCCAGGTCGAGGCACCCCTCTTTCTTCGTTTGCGTCTGCTCAATCCGAAAGTTTCAACCTGAAACGGGTTTCGATGTGGAAACTGGTTTAGGCATGGAAAATTTTGGTTTGGATTTCCGCCTTCTAAATAGGAGTAGAACCCCAAATCCTAAAAAACAGGTTTCGACACGAAGTACCGAGACCCGATCCGACAGTTTCGACCCGAAACGCCCTCTAAATTAGACTAGAATCCCAAATCCTAAAAAACAGGTTTCGATGCGGGAATTGGTTTAGGCATGGAAAATTTTGGTTTGGATTTCCGCCTTGTAAATACGAGTAGAATGCCAAATCCGAAAAAAACGGGTTTCGATGTGGAAATTGGTTTAGGT